TTGGGACGTCAATAAAGCATGATGGCTCAACAGAGATTCGAACTCCCAGTCAAAACGGTTGAAAATTGCGAGCCCACGGTGCCCCTCCAGTGTTTCATCTGTCTAAGCCATTTCTCGGGACGGAATTATATTTTTACGCAATTGTGATATAACTAGGCTTTATTTTTTATCCACGTTTGCCATCACTCAATCAAACCATAAACATCTATCTTTTACTGTCTTGATCTCCGTTTATAGAAGTTGATACGTATGACATGTAGCAGCGAAGAATGGTTTTACGAGCTTGTGATAAGTCATGCACGAAAAAGGCTCGGATCAAAGCATTGATCTATTAATCATACAAAATGATACGTCAGCCGTTACTTCACAATCAGGTGTCACCGCAACGTCTTTGATGATGGGAATGTACTGTTTAACAATCATCCCTTCTGAACATAAATCAAATTGAACCTCCTCTATTCCATGTAGACACCCTTTACAGAAGCGATCCGTCATGGCGATGGATGTGATACAGAGAACTGGTTTTTGGTCACGTTACTTAAAAAGAAACAATACGAAACCTTATATAACCGGAAATATATTTTAGTTCCAATGATGTATTGTCTTGCCGAAAAAATAATCTCCTGATGTCACTTAAGATATTGTTTTCCTTGGTAAGTAAGCTAAGACCGAAGAAACACATATATATATAGGCAAAAAATAAATCCAATATAATTGTGATTCAATAGTTCTGTCAGAATCCCATTGCATGACAAATGACGTTCCTGTTTTTTGTGATGTTTTAAAATGAGAAACAACAGATCAATTCCAGTGTCGTTACATCCAGTGACTGAGGTGAGTGAGTGAGTTTAGTTTTACCCCGCTTACAGCAATATTCTAGCAATATCTGGTGGGGACACCAGAAATGGGCTTCACAAATGTGCCGATGTGGGGAATCGAACCCGAACTGCCGTAACGAGTGTTATGTACATAGACTGACGTGGGCGTCATGTACTAAGTCTGCCGTAACGAGTGTTATGTACATAGACTGACGTGGGCGTCATGTACTAAGTCTGCTGTAACGAGTGTTATGTACATAGATTGACGTGGGCGTCATGTACTAAATCTGCCGTAACGAGTGTTATGTACATAGACTGACGTGGGCGTCATGTACTAAGTTGTTATGTACATAGATTGACGTGGGCGTCATGTACTAAGTCTGCCGTAACGAGCGTCATGTACATAGACTGACGTGGGCGTCATGTACTAAGTCTGCCGTAACGAGTGTTATGTACATAGACTGACGTGGGCGTCATGTACTAAGTCTGCCGTAACGAGTGTTATGTACATAGATTGACGTGGGCGTCATGTACTAAGTCTGCTGTAACGAGAGCGTCATGTACATAGATTGACGTGGGCGTCATGTACTAAGTCTGCCGTAACGAGTGTTATGTACATAGACTGACGTGGGCGTCATGTACTAAGTCTGCCGTAACGAGCGTCATGTACATAGACTGACGTGGGCGTCATGTACTAAGTCTGCCGTAACGAGTGTTATGTACATAGATTGACGTGGGCGTCATGTACTAAGTCTGCCGTAACGAGCGTCATGTACATAGACTGATGTGGGCGTCATGTACTAAGTCTGACGTAACAAGTGTTATGTACTTCGTCTGCCCAACGTCATATACTCAGTCTGAGGTAAAGAGCGTCAAGTTATAAGACTTTCGTGGAGAAGGCCATGCACTAAGACCGAGGTGGAGAGCGCCATGTAGTATGGTGTAGATGTCACGTACTAAGCCTAAGGTGAAGAGCGCCACTTACTAAGACTAGGGTAAAGAGCGCCATGTACTTAGACTTAGTAAAGAGCACCATGTATGTAGACTGAGTTTAAGAGCACCATGTACTCAAAGGTGAAGAGCATTATGTTCGAATTCCTTACCCGAGCTTGTTTAAACAATACAACACCTTCGTTGAAGTTTGCTTTGACGTAGTGACGCACTGCGTGGTGGAAAATTGGATCAGGTTTATTTGTCACTGAAACTATCCACATCAAGCATACAAAATAACACTGTTTCCTAAACAATGCGTATTGACTGTATGTATATTGTTACGTGTTGATTCCCAAGATGAAACTAAATAGTTAACCGGGAATCAGTATGTTAGAGAACTACGTGAAAAACCAACAAACAACAAAGAGGGATGTAATAACTGTATTAATAAATTAACTAACCTAACCAATCAATACAGATCTCTAATAAGGTATCACTAAACAGTGTAAATTCAGAGGTAATTTGATACAAGAGCAGTGGTTATAGCAATATCGCACTGATGGTTATATTCAACTCTTAGCAAAAGTAATCTAACTTGAAATCAAGGGCAAGGCAGAGAGTATCAATAGCTTAACGTTGTCACACAAAATGCTAATGTGAGATGAGTTACCTCCCCTTATGTACATGCCTCAGGGTTACACAACACCAAATGTTTTCCCATAGACTTCTACAGTAACCTTATAATTTTTTTAAAATTATCCAGGCTATCAACAGCCATTCTATGTACACATGGGTACACTCTGGCCTTTAAACTGCAATAAAACACAATATCTGGCCAACTTGTCCGGCACAGGAAGCGGAACACATCAACCCCAGTTCCGCACCAAATGTCACCTACTGGAAAATATCTGTACATACAATAAGCATAAGTCATAGTGATAAAAATGACAGCACTAAATACTTAAAATTGTGGTCAGTTTTAATTACTGGTTGGATGTGCTTTTACAAAACATAAACATCAGCTGTCACATGTCTCTGTCTCTCTTCACTTCTTTACATACGGTCCGGCTCAGCGAGCAAGCGATTCTCATTTAGTGTAGTGGAACCTCAGGCGGGTGATCCTGGAAGAAGTTTCTTCTAGCCCGTTCCAGGTTGTTCTGTAATATTCTGTCTAAATCTGGCACACCACTGCCCTCCACTGAATTTACAGCTGCAGTGTATGGCAGTTGAAACAGTTGCACAAAGCATTACAATGCATCATAACAACATGTGCTTATATATAGTAATCTTTAAAAGTTTTTCAGTTTTAAAAGCATACTTTCGACCTACAGAAATACATTAAGTAATGTGTACAATGTTTTATTGAAGCCGGAGAATATGAAAACAAACCTTTCTTGGCTCTGAGATCAAGGGCATTTCCCCTTTGCCTTAACCACCACCGAACACCATCCCATCCAAACCCATCCACCACACCCCAACCCCAACCGATCTTATCCGACTTTCGTCCTTCGCCCAACAAGATGCTGTTGTAATTTCAGGCCTAATTGGACTGAAAATGCTGATTCCTTTTTGCAAAACCAATATCCCTGTTCTTAACGATACTCATTGGCTTCGGTATTCTCATTTGCATGGTGAAGAGTACAACGTATTCCCCAAGCACCTGACAAATGTACCTATGATCTGCCGGTCCCTTGTACGGTTCCTCTTGAAATAGAAATAACATATACATGCATGCTCATGGGATCTTCTCGTCTACGGCGTTAATTTAGATTTATCTGAAATGTCGCTGCTCATTGTGTGTGTACTGCTTCAGCTGCGATTGCAAATGATTAAGGGAATAACTGGGCTCGCTACAACCAGCATTGATTTACAAATGCAGCTAGAAACAGACACCTGATGTCTGTTTCATTGCAATTAGCAAATCTGTTTCTCTGCAGGCCATAGGACCACTGTACTATGCATTTCAATTGTTTTAATGCAATGCCAACTACAGCTGCGCTCCAGTGTTTATAAGACCTTTTGGATGTCCTTCTCAACGATTCTATGTTTATTAAAGATACTACGGTAATTCATTCGTGTGTCCAATGTAAAGTGTTTGAGTGCCAGGTGCTAATGGTAAAGTATGCATGTTTCCTTTTCCTCGAATACCTGGTGTCATCATTGAGTTTTAGTGATCCCTTCATATCATGTCCACGGCTGTGTTGCCTTTTAAGCTCAATGGAGCTTCGGATAATTGAACCAGGTTTTTCTATGGCGTTTGCGTTTAATATCCCTTTCATTATATCAACGTGAACATTAGTATTCTTTAGGCCTGTGGGACGAACTGTTTGATGCCCTTCCTGTCACATGTATTTGTTGTTTACGCGAATGTACACACACAACTGATAATGTATGACCTTTACTGGGTGTTCATTATCACAGTTTTCCGTTGAGAAAATGTGACTTTATGGTCGCGGAAGAACCCTCACTGCATGCATGGTGTAATATCGTTACCCCTTTGGCCGCGATATTTGTGTAATCATGCTTTTGTTCATTTACGTTTTATTGCCTAGTTGGACCCGTGCTGGGGCTACAAAACCAAGGTTTACAATCAGGGCGAGTCTGGAATCGGAACCCAGGGACATCAGTAGCAGAGCACAACTCAACTCTGCAAAGCGTGATACTGTCATGGTTTGTCGATCAAAACGGCAAACAAGAACTCACTTCAGAAATTTACAACACTGTAATATTCATTCTGCCGTTATTATTTGCCGGTTATATCCGTAAGGACAACACTTTCAGTAATTTCTCTACCAAATCAATTCTTACGGAAGGGAGTCTTGTATCTGGCACATGGATTGAATTGTAAACACATTCTTCCGATTTTGGAGTATTCACCAAAGTCTTCACAAAATGTTTTTTTTTCCAGAATGCGTTTCTGTCCATGCTTGCTTAAAGGCGAGGGGAACATTTTCCAAGATCCTTCGGTTACCAAAGTAGGAGATCTGGGGAGTGGTAGTGTGCTTGACATGGAAATTAATGGTAAATGGTATCCACAATTTGGAAAAACGAAAACACTACGTAAGCAGTAACATTTAACCTTTGAAAATTGAGAGTAAGAAAAGGTAACACATTAACACAAATTAGAACGAACTAAAGATCCATTTCAACCAAAAGTAAGGACACATGATCGAGACAAGTTGGCGGAAAAATGAAAAAAATGGCACCTTTTACTTATTAGTTAAGATAACACTACGGCATTCGTGACTGATGTGGTCTCACCTTAGACAAATGAGGTTGTACAAAATTGACTCTGTTCACACAGCAGTGAATGGGTACCCGCTGGGATAAGTTATATTAGACTATTAACCTTCTGTTGCCTCACAGGCAGCATTTGTTAACTGGGGTAATAGTGCCCATTATGCCCGTGTTAAGCGGGATCCAGCGTCATATAAGTTGCCTTATTATTATTACGACTATTAGCTCTATTCTTTATACGATTGGTTATGACTGGGGACACAACGGTGGCGGTTTTGATGACGTTTTGATGAGTGCAATAAATCGCAACTCTGAGTTTGAGTGAGTGAGGGTTCTTATTCCACTTTCAGAAATATTCCAGGAATATCACGGCGCTGAGAAACCAACAATGGTTTCATACGTGTAGGGAATCGAACCCGGACCTGTTTGAACTCATCAGGATATCCTACCGACCAACGGAGCTTTGTTCATGTTTTGAAATATAAAAATCCCCCAAAACGAAAAAAAAATAAGTAGTATTTAAAAGATTTTATTACCGGAAATTACAGCTAAAGAAAGCCGATGTCGATTTCATCACTTAACAATAAACTATAATTTACATTGCATTTCTTGTGATTCAGATGATATTCTACATAAAAGTTATGGTTGGCTTTGAATTACAGTTGTGTGGAAGATAACTGGACCTGAGAAAATACTTCCAGATACACGATGTTCGACACACCCGACTAAACATGATGACGTAATGAGTACTACGTAGGGAACAGACTTTTACTTCGAGACAACCGAAATTCGGCGCATCAAGTTCGGTGTTTGTTTGTATATTTGATTCTTTGTTGTACTATGCCATAGTGTTCCTTCATCGATGGGTTGAAGTGCTGATGTCAGAACCATAGCTGGAGTCCGACAACATGATATACAGCTGGTTTTATAATAAACAATGCTTCATCTGCCTCATTTAAAACATACAATAAAATTGTATGGACTTTTCAGGCACTGATATCTATTACATCCATGCATATTTGCGTCAGGTGCAGCATTCTAACAGGAATAGAAAAAACAACAACCAAGAACATAAAATGCTTACATTTACTTTGTCACCAAATGTCGATAATATCGCTTTATCCACAATACTTGTCTCTTTGGAAGCATCTGGTGAATTCCCCAAGTTCTCACTATTTAGTCGACTGGAACACGCAGATGCAGCAGGTTATCTATTATATATTTTTTCCTTGGCGAATAACCTACCTTGTGTTGACAAGACCATCAATATAGACCCAGATTTAACGACTTCATCGACTTCATTTTAACAAAGTTTTTTTTCAACGTATTAAGTCTTGCCAATATTTAGGATTTCACACTTACTCAGATACCGACTGAACATAGGTGGTTTTGTTTTAAATACTGGTATCGGAAAACAACTGTCGTCGGCAGCAGCAACAGATGTTAATGTGACAGGAGGTGAAGGGTAATACAGATGTGTCTGTGTAACAGATGTAACATAGAGCGTCAGTAATGTACACTGCCCATGGCGGTAACATTACATATACAGATGCACTAAAGTACTCTGTTGACCTTCGCCTCTTTATATATCAGTAGATAAATAAACTGACGTTCAGAAGAAATAAATTAACAGCATTAATTTTGATTCTGCCTTGTCACAAACATTGTGCAAGTGTTTCCAAAACACCAGATATTGTACCCAATTACAACATTGCTCGCGAAATATTTATGGTTTTAATGGATATAGTCCCAACACACCAGGCCCCGATTTCTCGAAACAAACTTAAGTTTTTACTCAAATTTCAAACTGAGTTTGACAATTTGAAACAGCTGAAAATTTAACTCAGCTGCATTTTTAAAATAAAAAAGCCCAAACAACTTAAGTATTCTATTCACCAAACTCCAATTGTCTACTATGTTTGAGTTTAGCGATTTCAGTTAAACAGTGGGAAATGCGTTTTCTCAATTTGAGTAAAAATTTGAACTTAAGTCAAAACTCAGACTTAAGTTTGTTTCGAGAAATCGGGGCCAGGTGTGTACTTTCTTATGAACGTCAGTATATATAGTTTAGTAATTGCTTTGTAGTGTAACTGGGTCATCTGACTAAGACTTGCATTGCTGACCGTCTGATGACCATACATTTCGTTAGATGATTGGCCGAAGCGCTCTACTGCCCATCACCTAGATCACCATGTAACGTCAAACTCATTAATATCACTGACAGGGATTACCCAGTCATATGGTGACAAGTCTGGTTTGAGTGCTGGCCATGGTAAGGGGGTATGTTGTCCTGTTGTAGGTAATCAGTGACAGTTAGAGCCCTGTGTGCTCTTGATTTGTCCTGAAACACACAACAATGTCCATGTCGGCGAGCACCACTTTGTCACGGTGGTATTGCTGCGTAACACGCCCGTGGATAACAAATAAACTTGCTCTACCAATCACTTTGATCTCACCCAACATCATCACTGAGTCACCCCCAAAAATGTGTACTTACTTTTGTTTGTTTGTTGTTCAACGCCACGTTTAGCAATATTCTAGCTATACAGCGGATATCTGCAATAAACAAGACAATCCAGTGATCAGCATCATGAGCATTGGTCTATGCATTTGAGATACGATGACATCTGTTAACCAAGTCGGCGAGCCTGACCACCCAATCCAGTCAGTTGCCTGCTACGACAGTTCAGTTTCAGTTTATTTTCGGAATTAGGCCACCGGCCCATCATACATATACATCGCGAGACCCGCTCTCCAGTCCATATGTAAGTGAACAATGAGCAATGAGCACCAGTACATTGAATGGAACAATACATCAATTGTAATATCTAATCCCCAGCAGCTTTGCACGTTTCTTTAAACCGAGAAATATGTACTTGACAAGCTTATTAATAATAAACGGATAAACCTTAATTTAAACAGAATATGCATTTTCTCTGGCGAGTGAGTTTCACAGATATATCTAGGTAGTATTTCAAATCTTAAGCTATCATAAAAAGAACATTCAAACATAAAGTGATACTCGTTTTCCTGTCTTGGTATGACTCATACAGGACACAACCTTTCTAATGCTGGAATATTTTGTTTTCTACCTTCTTCAATCATTAATCCATGACTGCTACATCTGAACAGACAAAATGCAATTCTATATATGATTTTACCTTTATAAGTGATAGATACAGCTCGAATGACATAGATAATTTTACATTGCGATAAAAGTCTAACTTAGAATATTTATGTAAATTCTCTATCCACATTTAACCATCAGTATCAATGCATCTCTGTTTAAAGTTATTTATAAAGTTAGGATATAACTCTACATTTTGAGCTATCCAAACATATCCAAAGCCGCTTTCATACAACATATTTGTCACCTTAAGAGCCCAGCATTCTATACCCTTTTCTGCTAATTTGAACTGATAGCTGTATCAATGCGTAAGTACAGGATTATGATGCTGACTTAATAATCTAAAAAGATTTTTAATTATCTTTACATACTTATTCACTTTTGATGAATATCTTCCAAGTCCACCCCTAGCTGTAATATTTGAATAAACCTACTAAGGTACAAACACTCTTTACAGAACTTATCATGGACTTGCTCAATATTAGGTGCTGGATGGAAACCCCAGATCTCTGCACCATATGACAACACAGGAAGAACTTTCCCATCAAAGATATGAAGCAAAACATCAAGAGCTAAATTATGAAAATTAGAAATCTTAGATTTTAACAAATATAGTACTTTAATAGCTTGTTGTGAAAGAACCTTTTGGGCTTGATACCAGGATCCAGAACTTGTTAGATGTAGGCCTAGATATCTGTAGGAAGATACAATTTCTAGACTATCATTATTTAGAAAAAACTTTTCATATTTCTTTAATCGTACACCTTTTCTAAATGCAATAACTTTAGTTTTATCAGTGTTGAATTTTAGTTGCCATAGATAACAATAATCCGTTAGTTATTTATCCTTGACAAGCATGGGTTCTTCCAGACTAAATCTAACCCAGATCTTCACGTGTGCGTGACTCAGTGAACATGCCTCATCTTGTTTCACAATTAGGTCTGTATCAAGACTTGGAGTGTCAGTAACGTACCCACAAGACTATGACGAGAGGGACGACCTAAACGTCCAGCAATTTGACTTCAGATCCAGCCTTTGGTGACTACTTTTCATCATTTAGAGAAGAAATCGAAAATACTTTTTCTGTGAAACTTTCAACGAAAGTCATACGACTTCACCATAGTATTTGATCAGGCTCGAATCATCGACCTTCTTAGCTATGTGTTCATAAGATGTTATGTTAGACGTGCGGAAGAAATTTCCAATTTGACTCATCGATGGCCACAATCATGTCCAGGCATTACAATTACAAAATCAGGTGGACATTTGACTTGCCCCTACATTTGTTTATGACTGGTACAACCAGATCGTACAGGATTCGATTACCCCTTCCCGAACATCTGGTATCACTCGTAACGGTTACTTTTACTCATCAACACACTTATGACTCAATTACCGCCATACATTTGTCTAAATCTACATTTTTATGAGATACAAATTTGGATATTCTGATAGTGTTTAATTCAACGAAATCACCAACCACATACCCACATCAACAAAAGCTAAAAGAGACTATCTGGGTCACGTCTATGCATAAATTTCAGAGAGACAAAAACATACCTCAAGGCTGGTTAACCATTGGGATAGTTTCATCTTTCCTCAATGTGGATTAGTTGTTCAGTAGCATCAGCTCTTATTGTTTATGTTTCAAAACGGTTAAAGTAAGCATCTTCTAGCACGCCTACTGGAAACACATGGAACAAGATACGAAGTCACTTCTAAGAACCTGATACTACATACAATAACCTATAAACGTAAATGGAACTATCATTAGGACAAACAGTTGAATATTGAGGGAGAAACATAATAGTGTTCTGTCATTGTCAATTCAAAATACAGCAATTGAAATGACAATTGCTGATTCCATTACTTGGTTATAAGAGTAAAGTTAATGTGAAGTAACACTGATGTTGTAACACTAACCATTAGCAACCCGGGCCTCCTTTCACAAAGCACTAAGGTGACCGTAAGTCACTAAGGTAACATTAGTGCAATGTTAAAGAATGGGAGTTAAGGTTAACCTTAGTTAAGGTTGCTTCGTGAAAGGAGACCTCGATCAACAATAATAACGGCCGTACTCAGGACATATACTGTAGTACTTTTCATTTACATTACAATAATGTCTTCAATGTTAAAAAAGTCTGACATATTTTCACAAATGTTGTTAAAGGTTATTGGCTACATCTATGTTTGAAAATATCATGTTTTTGTATTACTAAAATATCATTGATTAGTTACAATGTGAAAAAATATTTAGAAGAAGGGTATTATGTCACAAGACATTCCGTAGAAGGGTATACCTTTATTAAAAGGACTGTAACTCGTCAAATTAGTATTTACCAACCTTAAAACCATTACAGTAATTGATGGGAGACGTACGGCAGTTCAGAAATGTGTTATCAGAAACTTGTATGTCTGTATGCGCCTACTATGTGACTGATACACAGTGACACCGGCAATCATGTACGTGACACCCGGGTGTAACGGAAGTAACACAGTAGCCTATTACTTAAAACCCCGAGCAAAACTGTCTACACCATACACTCTCGATCTTTAGCCTACATTTTAATTAACGTTTAAGCATCTTATGCTTCGAAGTTCAACCAGTTTCATGTGACATGACTTATAGATTAGATTAAATATATATATGATCGCGCGTGTGTGTGTCTGTCTCTTGAAACTCTTAATGGTGCTGTGTCAGTTACTTTTAGATGTAAGAAACTGACCGTTTTGAATCCCAGAGTAAAGACACTTTGTAAGAGCAGAGACGATAAATGTAAATATCTTATATTTACCCTTGGTGATGTCACCATTTGGTTACTATTCAACTACATACTTCCCAGGTGCGTGATCGACATGATGCCCCACGGTGAGTTATCATAGGAAATATTGGTAAATACCTTACTTTGAAACATGATAAATACTGATTAAAGTGAAAGGTAAATGAATGGATTGCTGGACAGAAGTCCATATCTTGTTATTCCAACATGCACTTCCTCTGGTCGTGCTCAGGACATACTGTTCAATAGCAATACAATTGTAAGTAGTACATGAATTACATTTTACCCAAACTGCAAAAGTATCTTTACACTTTAAAATTGGATGTTACCAAACCATTACATAATGTTTCTGGGCTGAAAACCGTTGGCGAAAAACGCCTTGTTATGACACCTACATCACCATCGACTAACCATTCCATTTTATGTTTCACTTTTAACCACGAGTAAGGGTGTACTTTCTCGTGTTCGACAGGTTGACTACTTCACATACATATGTATGCAAAACGTCAGTTGTATGTTGACATGTTATATTTATAATAAACATGTCTCTGTATATTGCACTCAATTTCAATCATCGTTGCTGTAAACGTGTTGGTTTCGCTGCTTCGATACACCAGTCTATTTCAAACCAGTTATGATTGAAGTGGTCCATTCCCAAGTGGCTTTGAGAGACGTTTTGAAGGTGGGGTCACTCTCGATGTCAATCATTTAATGATTCTGATAAAATGACGGATGTTAAGAGGACAGTATTGCATATTCGTGAACAACGTCTTACAAAGCACGACATCGAGTTGTAAGAGTAGTTCAGTGGAGTGAGATAATTTAACCCAGTTTCACCACCGAGTGCCGATACCACTTTGGCAATTGCACGATCCTGCGACGGTGGAGTGTACCTAGATAACATAACCAGGACTACCAAACCGGTTTGTTTTCCTTGGGGCTAGGAAAGATGACATAGGGCGTGAAGTCGTTTCCAGGAGAGATGAAATAGGGAGTAAAGTCGCTTCCAGGAAAAGTGAAATAGGATGTAAAGTCGCGTCTAGGAGAGATGAAATAGGGTGTAAAGTCGCTTCCAGGAAAAGTAAAATAGGGTGTAAAGCCGCGTCTTGGAGAGATGAAATAGGGTGTAAAGTCGCGTTCAGGAAAGATGAAATAGGGTGTAAAGTCGCTTACAGGAAAAGTGAAATAGAGTGTAAATCGCGTTCAGGAGAATAGGGTGTAAAGTCGCGTTGAGGAAAGAAGAAATAAGGTGGAAAGCTGTGTTGAGGAGAGATGAATAAGGCGTAAAGTTGTGTTGAGGAGAGACGAATAAGGCGTAAAGTAACGTGCATGAGATGAAATAAGGTGTAAAGTTGCGTTCAGGAGAGATGAAATAGGGTATAAAGTCGCTTCCAGGAAAGATAAAATAGGGTGTAAAGACGCGTTGAGGGCAGATGGAATAGGGTGTAAAGTTGCGTTGAGTTGAGATGGAATAGGGTATAATGTCACGTTGAGGGGAGATGGAATAGGGTATAATGTCACGTTGAGGGGAGATGGAATAGGGTGTAAAGTTGCGTTGAGTTGAGATGGAATAGGATATAATGTCACGTTGAGTTGAGATGAAATAGGGTGTAATGTCACGTTGAGGGGAGATGGAATAGGGTGCAAAGTTATGTGAACCTGGCTTAGTCCTATTTCAACAGTGTGTTAGGTATATCACATCCTGACACCTTGGGAGGTGAGTCAGAGATTAAGCATGTCCAAGACGTTTACCGCTTTGGTAACATTCACGATCTCAGGAATGGGCTTAACAACAGCTCGAAACACAACCAGGTCGAATCTGGGATTTGAACAATTCCTTACAAAATAACTTTTCAGTCACATGAGCAATGTATCTGTTAGTAATACTTTGGAGGAATAAGTATGATGATGATGATGATGATGATGATGATGATAAAAAGATTAAAAGCACATAGAAAACCAAACAGAGCTGAGACCATTTCGCCCTCGATTCTATATGATCTCTTTATTATTTACAAAATAACGATATTATCGTATGCACGCTAACAGATAACCTAATTGAGAAACACTCCCAGGAGCATGCACCGTTTTTTTTAACAAGAGACACATTCAGCCCCGTTCGACAATATTCAGGATGCACATATCTTCAGCAATATGTAATATGCAATTGTGTGGTGCCAATGGTACCATATTCCTTACTTGATAAAGGTCAATTCGGCAAAGTAGAATAATTTTCAATATTTTATTCCAGGCAATAAACCACTAGCAATTATTGTCTCCCGAGGCAAGGAACTAAATCCATTTGGTAGATTTATTTTCCCGTATAACCGTCAGTCGTACAAGCCCTCGCCCTCGTGTTCTGTCACAAAGCGACCAAATCAATTTAATGCGGAAGACTCTTAAACGGCCCTTGGAAATGATATTCTTCAGTCTGACAGACCCAGGGCAACCAAATTCCAATATATCGCATCAATGAAAGACTGGAGATGTCTGTTTCTTGTGGATTTGCAATTCAGAGGAAGAAAATATACTGTAAATACACCAAGCCCTTTTTGATTCGCCAAACAGAGGGACAGATATTTGCCTCGTCAGAACATTCCGTCACTTCTGTCCGATTGACGAGGAGAAATAGATCATAGGTCGTACCTTGCTGTAATTTTATTTCCATTTTGGATTATGAGGATTATAGGGGATTATAAAGGGATTATGTTAGTGATACAAGGAAACAGACAAATTATGGATTTTTGGTGATCATGTTCTATGTTAGACAGAAGGGTGGGTGTATTTATCCTGTAAAAGGTAGGCGCTCAATGTCATGAAAATAGCTGGTTTGGTTAGGTTAACAGGCATAACAATTACATCTAAGTATTTATGGTAAATATTAGTTTACACAGACACAATCGATATCACGTGATTGGACTGAAAATGCGGATAATATTTTGCACTGTGACACCATTCATACAATCCGCGGAAAAGACGTAAAGGTCGGCTAAAGTAGGACAAAAAGAAGACATCATTCATTTAGTAAGCTATTTTTCTTTCATTACTAATCATCTAATCTGCTCTCCTTTCACGACCAT